TATAGCTAATATGCATATCTGTTGAAATGTGGATACAGCTTGTATGCTTATCTGTTGAGATATTGATATAACCAGTGTGTTTATCTATTGTAAAAATGGAAAATGTTTAATATGAGTCTTTGTCTCATATAAGTGGTTGGCCAGGTTCTGAGCCATTGATGAAAATTGTGAAATTGATAAGAAATGGAAATGGATTTATGAATTGGTTTATGAAAATTGAACATTTATCAATTGCTAATGTCTTAATCATTGTTCATACTGTGTTTAGCATATCTCTACTGGGCTGTGGCTCACCCTTTATGGGACATTATTTTCAGGTACAGGTAGTATGCCACCTCCAAGGACATAGCTTGGATGATGATGAGAGTTGAAGACTCTTTCTTTTGTTTCTTTTGATGTATTACATGTAAATTCAAGCCAATGGCTTAATGTGTATCGAGTTAGTACTCTTGTTTTGTAACCAAGTGTTAACTTGGAAAGCTATAAGCCCATAGGGCATTTGCTTTTATTGTTAACATGTAATACAGTTGTAAAAATTACTCTAATGAATAGAAATGGTTGATTTCTTTTGTATCAATGCATGTCTAAAATGTTGGTTATTATGTATTATTTTGAGGGCGTCACATATAAAAACGTGATAAACAAAAAATAGTTAAATGGTGTATACTGAGAGAATTCATGGTGTGCAAATAGAACCTCCTAAAGCTATAATAACAAAAACTAATATTAGGGCCAACCATCAGAGTTCTGAAGAAGTTGGAGCCACAGGGAAATTGTATTGACAGACATTATTGCTAAATGGAAGTTAAGCTATTAAAAAATGCTGTAGTTTCAATCTATAAGACGGGACAGGAGGTCACGTAAAATTTCCAAGGTAAGGAATTGCAGATTGTTATTGGGAACACAATCAGCATTTGATTGTCAAAGGGAACATGTTAATCACTGTATATGTAACAAGAAACACAAAAACAAATTCTGAGTAACGACAACGATTTATGCGCTGAGACCAGTGCTCAACAAGAAATTGATCTCTTCAATTAAATATTCAACTTGCAAATGACAGAAGGCGGGGATGGACTTTTTGCTAGCCACTTAATACTCATTCCTAATCATGCGCGATAGAACTGAAAATGTTGAACATAAGCATATACATTTTTTAAATGAGATCAAATAACCAATGAGTTTGAAACTTGGCAAAAATGAATCGATGGATGAGCTAACACACACAAGTTTCATTTGCAGATTCGTTAATAGAAGTTGTATGATGGGTACTGCAATGTCGTGCAAGATTCCTCCACTCTATATGAGATACAAAATTTTAAAATATGTATTATCACATTTCACTTGGCAAAGATACATTACAGTTGTTGCAGTGAACACCCAATTATGGACATAATTGTTTAATCTGAAAACACAAGCACCATGTCTTAAATTAAGCAACAAAGGAATGAACTCACCTACTTTGGCCACAATGACATCAATGAATTCTGCAGCCCCATGCGTTTGGCAGACAAGTCCTTCTACCCCTCCTTTAACTTCACTTTGTGGTGTTTCTTTTCCTCTAGTGTACTCACTAGTCTATCAAGAAACCTGAAAATTAGATGCACACTACAGTCAATACTTGATATTGTCACAACTCATTAGGAATAATAAGCATGGCATCATGAAACCAAAATACTAGTAATGTGCACGACTGGAGGGAGAGGTATAGTCAAGCAAACTGCAGTTACTGGGCAAAAACCATCAAGATCAGGACAGAAAACTTCTGAAACGGTCATAACAATAGACAGTTGATTCCTTACAACAACCAAAAATGCAAGGACTTATTGGGATCGCACAAGATATGCATCAATCAAATACCAAAAGAAAAGTCATGTAAATATAATATAATTGTCAATTGTGAATTCTCAATATAGATTGGTGTTGTAAACAATAAGTGGGGCAGAAGAAATTTGACAGTGAAGGAAATGGGCAAGGTATAAAGCTTGTTGAAAACCAAGCATGCTGCACCTTTTTGAGTTGAGAATCATGATCTGATCCCTGGTTTTTCTATTTGTCAGTGAGGAGATGGCCAAAGAAACATCAGACAACATCTTCTGAATTGTATCAGAAGACTACTGCTGCAACACTAAAGGAGCAACTGCCTGGACTTGATGTTGCAAGGACAGAGTTTCGTTATTTGTCAACTCGGTCAACCACTGATTCAAGAATGCCTTAATATGGTACCAAATATCAATTGATGTCAAAATGCTTTGATATCATAACCAAAAGTCAAACAAAAATATCAAGTTCACAAAGGATTGTACTGTTTGTTACATTCTCGTGCCCTTTTAATCAAAATTCCATCAGTACCTAATTAATCAAAATGACAAATAAGAACATACCTCAAATAGGTCATCAAGAATCTTATTCCTGTACTCCGTCTCCAAAAGCTGGCTCCTCTGTTGGGCGATTTCTTGGGTTTCAGTTTAATAAATGAACTTGAGGATTCTCAACACTAATATCCCAAGAAATCTGTGTCACAGAGACCTCTGGGACCACAACATCTTCCTTTTTATTTAACAAGGTCTTATCAGATTCCACACCATCATCATTCAGTGGAGAGTTTTGTAAAAACTCATTGGCATTCACAATCTCATAAGGACCCAATCCATTGCCAGTATCTTCTGTTTCTTCCACAGTACCAATATCCCAATCTATTTGAGAGTTGTCAACAGTAATATCCCAGTCAATAATATCAGCTACACTCCCATCTCCCCAGTTACATGGTTTGATTCATCAAGGCGGGCTTCAACATTCACAGTATCAAGAACTTCAGAGCCCACAGAAACATTCAGAGAAGGTGGGTTTTCAATAATGTCCCTTAGATTTAGTAGCACAGTCCCGGAAGTTTTCTGCAATCACACCAAACAACCGCAGTTATTGATGGCATCCAACACAATAATCCCCAGTTCCATCTGTGTGCCCACTAACAAAGACCATTATACTTAACCAGCACACATCTAGCGACAATTACAACAAACCAATTGAACAAAGACAATTACGTGACAGCAGTAAACGTCTAGCAACAATCATGACAAACATATATTTAATAATTTTCTTACATCCTTTTCCGTATGCACGTCTCTGACAAAATTTGAATCACCACTTGAGACTTCCAGAATCCTCTTAAATGTGCTTGGGAGAGATTTCTTTGCAGTTTCTAACAGTTTCGACCTCACATTTATTCCCTGCAAAGCAAAAGTTGACACTTAATTTGTTCGTTCTTGAAGGAATATACATCATACAAACTTGATGATCATCAGTAGAGTGGCATGTGATGCAGGATCATACCCGCAATCCTAGCTCTTGACAAGCCTCAGCAAATTTAGCTGCTGAAAGAGCTGCATTTCTTTTAATATCAGCTTCCTTGCGCTCTAGTTCAGCCAGTTGCTGTTGAGTCCTTTGGACCTGCTTTTTCTGATATGGTCTTCAAATATGAAATACAATTGATCAATAATATAAGCCGCACTAACATCAAGCAAATATTATTATTTAGCATTAACCAAGTAGACAATCACGAAAGCACTCACATTTCATAATTAACATTCAGGACCATTAGCTGAGCAGCCTCGCAAAGGTAAATATGATCTTTCTCAAAAGATTGCACGATTGACTCCCAAACACCCTGCCAAAGGTTAAAATTTAAATAAGAATTATATGTAGAAAAATGGTAAGTCAGGGGAGGGGGCAGAGGGCGAGAGAGAGAGGACTGCCGGCCAAAAATATTACGGCTTTCTGGAGTCAACTTCAAAAGAATACCATATATTTGTTTGGCTTCCAAGTAACCAATCCCTGGAAAGAGAATGTGAATTAACATAAAACACCTAAATAGTAAGTAAAAAAGAAAAAATCAACACTGCTGAGTATAATTCCTTGAGTTTCAGTGCAACAAATTAATAAAGCAATGTAAAAGCATGGTCATTCATTGTAAATACTCTAATATTTCATTGAGCAAAATTAAGCATTGACCACAAAAAAAATAAAATAAAATCAGAATCTCCGTTGCCATATATCTGAATGGAAGAGCTCCATGTATGCCATTATTTCCACATCCATAACAATCTTGATGCATGAAGTTGATTGCTAATAACATAAGTTTAAAACAAAAATACAATAACTAAAAAATATGACCAGTTATTGCATATTGACTACATTTCTATTAGAATGGTTTCAGTCTACAGACCATGATCAGCACTATGTCCTTATTCTAACCGTCTAAAATAAGCCATTTCACCAGTTAATGAACTTTAACAACATCAACCATCTTCTGAGCACCCTTTATCCTTCAAAACTTCAAGAACCAATAAACCACAACACAAAGACCAAACCATCTCTGCTACAATGCGTAAGATATTTATTTTCCAACCAATTAGCAACCTGGATGCGTATTGACACAACACTTGGAAGGCATAACTAACATAGATTGCCCCACTTAGCGACAATTTATAAAAATCATGACAAAAAAAGGCACTAATTGTCAATTTTTAGCGACGTATGTAAAAAATTGTGACAAAAAAATTATTTTTAGTGACAATTTTACCAAGACTTAAATTCAATAGGATTTTATGAGAATTAAGTCTAACTATTAAGATCTATTGGTAGTTTACCCTAAAATATATATATATATATAAATATATAATTCTTGATAAATAATATGAAGCACCGGTACTCTAAAAATATTGCTGGGTACTTACCAGGAGTGGATACGCGTACCGATACAATTGCACGTGTACTGAGTATGCTAAAAATGCACCGGGTATGTTTTATACGATCAGTATAGTAATGGGTACGCCATGGGTAGGTTTTTGGGAACTCCGGGGTAAAAAATGAGATTTTTTATAAATTAAAAGATGCCGGAGCAATTTTTTGTGTCTACTTTTAAAAATTATAAAAGTCTGGAGTTCTGTTGTAATAAATAAAACATGCAATCAAATAAAATTAGGGTTGTATTATTCTTTATTATTCGATCTTCTCATCTCCTTCCGAAATACTCCAAGACTGAAATACTCCCAAGATATACTCTAAGACTGAAATACTCCCAAAAGGTGCTAGGGTTCCATGTCTATTCGATCATCTCCTTCCAGAAATACTCCCAAGAGAGTCTGAAGAACACTTCAAAGGTGCGATTGAAAGGTTTAATCGAAGGTGCTGCTGATTGATTCTCTCCTTCGAAGCTGCAATTGAAGAGGTAAGTTCATCCCTTTTCTACTCTCATTTGTGTCCTATTGAATATTTTTGTCTCTCAACCACTTAACAAAGTGAGTCAAATATTATCCTAATAACAGAATTTTTCATTACGTCTTAAGTACTACATAGACAATACCACATAATATTTCGTGACTACCAATTTGGCCGTTGTGTCTAACAACGAAAGCTTTCATGATTCACAAAATTTATATAGAGAGTGATAAAATAATGCAACTGCAATTAAAATATTATTTCAAAACAAACTACCCACTAAAATAACATATATTAAATTCCATGACCACATCAATTGCGTGGTATTTTGTGTTCCTTATTGTAAATTAATGATAGAAAAAAGAAAAATAGTTTCACACACTATTTAAACCACCCCTATAGGGTATGCCAGTTTGAGGGATCCATGAATCTCCATCAATGAGCTTAGACACTGTAAAAGGGGTAGCTTCAGCTGCACTTTGGAAGACCTTATACCCTGACAATTTTGCCCTTCTACTAGTATTTGCCCCGGGGCCTCGGTTATTGTACTCCGCGAACATCAAAATCGTGTTATTACAACACCATGTCCATCCCTCCGGTAGCACGATTTCATCCAAATACGATTCCATGAACACTACAGTGGCATAATTTTTCCACGGCCGCCCTAGAAAAGCCTTCACTTCCTTTTTGCGTGACCTAAGTTCTGGTGCAACGTTGATTGTGCAATTTTGGAATGAAAATCCAAAATTAGTCGATGCTGGATTGGGTTTCCCACCGTTAGCGGTAATCACATTAGCAGGTGAGAGTCGACGAACGTAGATGCCACAATCTTGGAACACGGCTGAGGCAGAACCAAAAATGAAATCGACAGTGCCTGAAATTTCACAGTTTTTGTAAAACTGTGAATTTTTGTTTGCCAATAGGGTGTCTTGGTAACCCATGAAAATGCACTTGTAAAATGCTGAGTGATTTGCATTGTTGTTGAGTGCAACTGCTTGACCACTGTTTATTGGAGCTGAGTTCTCAATCGTTAAAGACTGGCCAATAAAGCCTTCCCCATCAACAGCTGTGAAAACAAAAATCTATCAGTTATTCAAATTCGAGATTAGTCAAGGTACTCCGAATATCCGGTTATTAAGAAACATACTATATATTTAGAATTTTACTAAAAAATATCACTATGTGTTTCAAATTCATTTAAGTTTAAACCTCACAATATATTAATTCAATTTCAATCATACATTCATTACTGAAAATGTATACATATGTTAGGCTAAAGAGGATACCAAAACTTCAACCATGCAAGCTAGATTCAAAAATAAATATGAAAAAATTACAACCCATGTAGTGTTAGAAAAATAATTACAAATTCATTGAAAACTTATGGCTCTGTTTGGTTGTATTTTCAAATTATAATTCTATCCACACATTCTAATACCATGTTTGGATAGGATTTTCAAATCATATTTTCACACTAAACAGAAAACTCTGCAGAAAACAGTGTCAAGCGGGATTTTTTTTTTTTTTTTTGAAATCTGGCTTAACCGGTCGTCCCACCAGACGTCCAGCCGGTCATCCCACCGGTTGACTTGCCCGATGTCCTGAGCAGTGCGCTTTTTTTTTTTTTTTTTGCAATTGGCACTATTGTTTTTTTTTTATATATATTTTTAATAAAACAATATTTTTGGAATTTTTAAAAAAAAATTATAAGCTTTTCATAGATTTTTAAATTGTGTTTGGTTATGAATTGTAAATTTTTGTATCACACATCATATGTCACATCAAAAATTTCCCACTCAATTCAAAACTCTTTTCGAAATTCTTTTTAAAACTCATTTATCAAACAAATTTTCTATACTCAAATCATAATTTCAAAACTCATAAACTCAAAATACAACTCATATTCTCAAATTATAGTAAGAAAACTCTACCAAACGCAACCTATGATTTTAATTATTAATATTAATACATATTTTTACTAATCTATAAATATTTTTGTAAAAATAAACTGATTTGTAATTTCCTCAATAAATATTATCAACACTTGTTTTTCCAACTTTTTTCATGCAAAAAGATTTGACTTTTGAAAAACATACTAGTAAAAAAAATTACTTCATCATCCCTAAACACATGCAAACTAAAAAACAACCAAAATAGAATTGCTTGCAAGAGAGTGAGTGAAGTTTACTCATTGTAGCAGACTGTGTAGTTCCAAATCCGGTGGCATTACTCCGGTTACCCGTAATTTTCGTGGTGGCGGCGTCATCACCAATTAGAGCAATGTTCGTCTTGTCCTCTCCCACCGCCACATATTCACTGTAAACCCCCGGCTTGACGCGAATATAATACCTATCATATTCATAAAACCTAGTAAATACTTTTTTTTTGCTTTTTTCAATAATAACTTTCTTCTTTTTTTTTTTTTGTAAGTAGTGAAAGTCAGTTGTCAGTTATTAAATAATACCTGTTGGTTACACTGATATGCATAGGAGCAGCAGCAATCGCATCGTTGATACGCCTGTAATTTCCCGAGCCATCTTGTGCAACTGTTGCATTGAAGATAATGTTGGTCTGAAGTGAAATGGTGGTTCCAGTTGAGCACAAAAAGAAGAACACAACGACGATGAAGACGATGGATGAGGAAGAAGCAAACTTTGACTCCATAGCAAGGAATTAAAACTGAGATCAACTTAAAGTATATGGATAGAGTTTATGAGTATTTTGTAAAGAACGTAGTGACTTTGCATGGTGTGCATGGTTCTTATATAGAACAATTTTACAATAAGAATTGCCAAAAAAATTAATTTTGGATTGGATAGACGACTGGACTTTCCATCTTTCCATATTTGATGTTATACATAATCCAATTTTTTTATTAGATTTTCTTATGAATAGAATTTTCTCATCATCCATTAGATTTTTATTAGATTTTCTTGTGAGTAGAATTTTCTTATCAGTCAGTAGATTCATTTATTTGTTTTTTATCTAGATATAACAAAATTTGGCAAGAAATCTATAAAAAAATTTCCTAAAAAAATAGAGTATGTATCCACTGCAATGGATAAAGCTACATCCATGCTCTTTGTTTGCCTAGTCAGATAATTTATATATTTTTCAATGGTAAAACATGTTTTTGTGTAGTTTAAAAATAAAAAATAAAAAGTATGGCTCATTGCCGGTCCATAAATGGACTAGATGGTGCGATTTGTATTTTGTGGCCCATTTTGGACCAATCTCGATTATTCGAACGGTTCGTCATGTAAGTCCCGTAGAGAAATTGTACATGTAAAAGATCAAATTAATCAGACAACAATATTTATGTAATAGGATCATAAAGCCATGCAAAAAATTAGAAAAAAATAATAATAATAGACCATTTATTTTCAAATTCACAATTGCAGTTCATTTTTTTTTTTTTTTTGGTGTACAATTTTGTCATTCAATTATATGGATATTGATATTTGATTAATTTGATTTTTTGCATGGTTAATCTTCATGATAAGCCTTGCATAATGAACGATTTAAATTGTCAATATAAATCTAAAATAGGTCCACAAAATGCAAATTGTAAAATGGACTAGAGCGTGCCTTAAAAAAATGGTAAAAATATTTTTGTTTTTTTAATTTAATGTGCATAAATTGTTGATGATAGTTTGTTCAGATTATGAAAATTCTTGGTCGGTTGACCATGTTAGGATAGAGAATTTTGATTATGGAAATTGGATAGATTTTGTATCAAACATTATTATTAAACTTTCTTTTTTCTGACATATACATTACTATTGGATAGATTTTGTAACCAACATTACTTACTATATACTATATGTTTTTTAACATTAGAACAAGTGCAGAGTATGAGTTGTAACTAACCTAAATTAAATTTTCAAATTAAAAAAAAAAAATGTGAATTACATTAACCTCCTTGAAGTTAAGAAAAAATATCATGAACACTACAAGTTTAATGTAATTATATTATAGTCCAAGTTTTAATTCATATAATTTTTTGCCCACTTTTCATTAATTATTTTTTAGTCATATGAATAAAAAAAATGATATTGTCATATTTATCTTTATTATGTTTGTGTCTACACAACATTTGTATATCCTCATTTGCTTTAACCTTAGTAAAGAAGAGAACTGTGTAATTATGTTATTTTTATGAAATTTCTTCAGGTTCAATTTCAAAATTAGTTTATGAATTTTTTTTTTTAAATAGAAATTTATTTAACAAAAATAAACACAAAAAATATTTTTGAATTTAAAAAAATTATTTTTAATCTAAATAAGAATCATATGAAAACTATGTTTTTTTTTCTTTCCTTTTTTTTTCAATTTTTTACCAAATTAATATTTAGTATTTTGAAAATTTTATGAGAAAACTCATTTCGAAAATCAAACCAATCATTGTGATGAATGTAATTTAACCTGTGAAAAATAACCTGTGTCTATTCACTTGTATATGTGTAGGGGTGCAATTTAGGCGGACTGAACCCGAGCAACCTGAATGTGTAGTGGTTTGCATTACTTCTTGTGAACATCTGAATTAAGCAAGTTTGCAAATGCCCACTTGTTTAAACAATTTTTTTTCATGAAGGTTCACACAATATTTGCCTGCACGTTGAGCCAATAACTAGCAGAGTTAAGTTGACTACACCACACAATGACCCTCCTCCTCTCTCGCCGTCCCTCTCACAGAGGATGTGGAATCTAATTTGTATTTAGTGAATTGGGGAAATTATAAATAAAATAAATTTGACCTTTTTAATAAAATAAAATTTTAATTTTATCAAATTAAATCTTAAAATTTTAATTTGTTTTCATTTTAAACTATTTGTTTATTTTTATTAAGTAAAACTGATTAAAAATTATATTTTAGTTATTAAACTCAATGAAAAATGATATTTTAAACATCTTTATTGTTCTGACCTTTTTAAGGGTTTAGACAAATTGAATTTGATGTGAGCTTGGACAAAAATTCAGAAACTCAAATTAAATTTGGATGGGTTTGGATAAAGATACTGAACAACTCGAAACTTGAATTATACATATAAATATATTAAAAATATTAAATATATATATATATATATAAATTATTAATCATTGGATGATGTTAAAATAATTTAGATTATTAGATTGTATTGAATATATATTATATATACAAGTAACACAATACCAAACTTTACCTTTTTCGTTTTTGACTTCAAAATTGTAAAGACCACTATAGCTTTACATTGTTTCTTCAATTATTATCTCTATCATATTATATAATTTTTTTTTTGATATTATTAATAATTTTATATAAAAAAATGGGGAATTTTTTTTCAGGTCCTTGGTATTAAGACTTTACAGCATAAAGGACACTCAATATTTTCATAATGTCTAAGGTCCCTCAAGTTGATCCAGAGAAAATTGGTCCAGAGAAAATTGATCCAGAAAAAATTAGTCCAGAGAAAATTGGTCCAGAGAAAATTCCTCAATATTTTCATAATTTCTTCACCTGTTTGAATTTGCAGCATTACCACCATGGGTTTGTTTACATGGTCTAGAGAAATTCTTTGGTTTAGACTGAATTTTCTTTGGTCTGAACTGAATTTTCACTGGACTTTCTCTGGGTTGGTCCAAAGAATTTCTCTGGTTTGGTTGGTCTGAATTTTCTCTGGGTTGTTGGACTGAAATTTGAGAAGCTGATGCATACTTACCTTGATTGAATTACCCATGAGATTTGTGATGATTTGCCGAAATCTACCTGGATCTCCCTAATACTGAAATTCTTGAATCGGGAAAATTCAGTTTAAAAACCAAAGAATTTCTCTGGACCAACCCAGAGAAAATTCAGTTTAAAAACCAAAGAATTTATCTGGTTTCAACCCAGAGAAAATCTGTCACAGCTCAATGGACACTATTTATTTACTGTATTGGCTTCCGCCAGGCCCTGTACTCTGTTTTACTGTATTACTGTTCTGCAGGCCTTCGGTAATCTCGGATTACTGGCCGGTTACGGTACTAAACCCATAGGGCCGGGTTTGGGTCGTGACACTGGACCAACCCAGAGAAAATTCAGTTTAAAAACCAAAGAATTTATCTTGTTTCAACCCAGAGAAAATTCAGCACGCAATGCACTAATCTTTTTTGACCTGTATTGGAACAACTTGAAAGAAGTTTTATTTTTTCCTTTTGTTATTTATTTGTTTAGTTTATGATATTTGAGATCAAACTCTAGGGTGCAGAAATTTCAGATTTGAGGTTGCAGAGTTTGTGTTTTGCCATTACTTTTCCATTCTTAGTTGGAATTTATGCCAAAAAGAGTTTATATACATATCTCAGTGACCATACATATCTGTTTGATCAATCCAAACCACAAAATTTCTCTGGATCAACCCAGAGAAATTTCAGTTCAAGCCAGAGAGTTGAACCCAGAGAAATTCTGAATTTTCTCTAGGTTGAACCAGAGAAATTCTGAATTTTCTCTAGAACTATAAAACTCTGATTTGATCAATTTGTCAATTGGAATACCTGGGGGGACTCTTTCTTGAAAGTGATGAGTAAGGCGAAGATGGCAGTGAAGAAATGAGTGGTGGAGCCAATGGCTTGGTTGAAGAAGACAGGTAGGTAGCGAAGAGAGATGTTGCCGAAGACGACGGAGAAGCAGAAAATGACGGAGAGAGCTTGGGAGAAAAAAACGTCAAGGCTGGTTATGCTTCTCACAAGTGCCTATGTGTTGCTTATGAGAATCTCAGGGCTTCTCAGGAAGAGTTCTTCAAGAATCGAAACAGTATTATAGAACATCAATATGATTCAGAGCAGTTGAAGACCAGAGAGAATGAGGAAGACAATAGATCTGTGATTGAAACCCTAAGGTAATAGACATAAATATATATATATATATATATATATTAGGGAAGTGGTGATAAAACCCATACAACAAGCACAAAGTCTTGTTTTCTATCGTTTACTAGCGTTGGGGATGGTGATAGTCAAATTCCTCTGATATATGTTTAGGGACCTTAAACATCAAAAAATAATTTTGTGGATCTCTTCCATTACAAAAAGTGGAGGAGGGACCCTAGACTAATTTTCCCTTAAAAAAAATGTAAATATAGCCTAATTTTAACAAATTAATTAACTTATTGCACACAAAAATAACAATAAAAATTCAAACTCATATGCGATAAGGGCCTCACTCGGATCAGGTTTGGACAAATAATCTCAGGTTATAATTTGAGTTTGGGTAGGTCTGAGCAACTCTCAGCACAACTTGGGTTAAGCTTGGACGACCTCTCAACCTACTTGAAATCGCTCGAATTGCACCCCTATATATGTGTGTACCGGTGTCCATTATATATTACACGGGCCATTTTGTGCCCTATTCACATAATAGTTGAGCCAGAAATTTAGCTCATCAAGCCTTCGTTTAATTTGGTTTTTTGGTTAAATTAGTTGTAAAAAGACAAAATAAGTCAATAAAACAAAATGTCACATTCAAATCATAATTATTTTACTTTTTTTTCTTATAAAAGTTAAAAAAACTAAAAGCTCAACCCAAATGAACTTTTTAACCCCAGACTAAAATAATCAAAAACCCAAAACCAACCCACTTTCCAAACAAAACCTAAGTGGAATTCTTGGCAACCTAAAGAAGTTTGATCATGTTAGACCTGTCTGAAGAGCTACTGGCCTCTCCATTCACTGGAATCATCTTAATTAGCCTTGGTTTGTATTACAAACTAATCAGGTACTCCTTGCACCCAAGAATAAAAAGATGAAACTGACTCATGTTTAAGTTGGAAGGTTAAACTTAACATTTGGTTTTTAGACAGTGCTGAGATTATGAATTTTTTGTAGAAATTTAAAAAGAAAAAGAGAAAATGTAGATGAAAT